ATCTTCTAAAGGCAACAGTTCTTGTACCCCCACACACACACATCCATGGCATCCCCTCAATAAAGTCAAGGATAAGGGAAAGAAACCATTTGAGAAACTGGCTCTGGAATTACAAAGCACTGATCACAGGGAAAAATACAGAAGTCCCATTTTTAATAAGATCCCTCGATACCTGTCTGGAGTCTAACTCTCCTGGCTCCCCCGAGATACTTAGGAAGTACGGAGAAGAGATGGAGGAAAACAAGGCTACTCAACAAGGCTTTTCCTTGGAGATTCCTCTCTTGATGGCTGAGTTTATAGGTGCTCCTTCTCTTACCCACAGCTATCCGAGCCAGGGGGACCAGAGTGCATGTCACGTGCCACTTTTTCTGAGCTACAGTCCTATCTGGAGAGATGTAGGTGGTTGTAAGGTTGTGCATTCTTGAAACAGGCACCGGGTTTTGTGTGTTTTGTTATAGATGCTGTTAGAGTAGATTTGAGAGGTTTTGGGGTGCACGTATGTTCGCCTTGGGCGGGCTCTAGTTCCACTTGCTTCTGTATCCACCTTGGGCCGGGATCTGGAGTTTTAGGAGGGGAAAACCACAAAGATCGGCCAACTGGGCTCCTGTCCTAAAATCCCAGACTTGTGCACTCTTTTCTATCATCCTGTGATCAAGCGTTTTTCTTCCACTGCCTTCAGATAGTTCTAATAATCAGAGATTTTTAAAGAAGTCACTGTATCCATCGCTGGCATCTTAGCATTTTTGTTTCAGGATCTCTGGGGAAGAGGCCATAGGGTTTTGTTTATTTTCTGCAAGAGTAATTTACACATAATACCAATTTTCAGGTTTGCCTAAATGACAGATCTAAAATTTTTTCCCTTTCCCTAGCAGGTTCACTTGGATTTAAATAACAGATATGATTTGTTTTATCAAATTCTGTAGTGGTTTCTTTCCTTAAAAATGCAAGTCTCTTTGCGACTTTGAACTTTTTTCCCTTTTTTATTTGGAATCTAATCTTCATGACTAAAACATTGGCTGCACTAACTCTTCATTATGTGAGGCGGTTTCAGTGTTTTTATTTTCCCAAAAGGATAATCTGCAAGTACATTTTCTGTCTCTCTCATCTTTCATTGTCTCAGTGTTTTTATTCATTTTGTTAACTTTTTAAAAATTCTTGGATGGTTGTTGCATATCACAGAGATGATACCAAAGATCACTTTAAGTGATTTGCCCAAAACGACATGTTTTGATGTTGAGAGATTCCAGATCAGTTTCCAGATTTTCCAAGCCCCGGACAATTCCCATGTTTCTCACATTCTAATGAGCCCCTAAAGAATTGTGGGTGACAGATTTGCAGGAATAGAGTCTAATTTGTGGCTGAGAGTCTTCTTAAAAATCAACTTTGAGGTGTAAAACATTACAATGGTATATAATAGAATAACATGCAGTGCAATATACATAATTGCAATACACCATATACATAATTGGAATACACCAATTTTAAGTATCCATTTTGTTGAGTTTTGATGAGTTTACACACCTGTGTAACTACCACCATAATCAACATTTCTTTCATCCCAGAAAGTTCCCTTGTGTTCTTTTGCAGTCAATTCCCTAATAATCCTGGCAGCCACTGATCTGTTTTCTTGCACTACAGATTAAATGAGCATTTTCTAGAGTTTCATATACATAGACTTCTTCTGTATGTCCTCTTTCGTGTCTGACTTCCGTGATTCAGTACATTGAGATCCAGACGTGTTTTGTTTGTATTTGTAATTCATTCCTCTTATTGCTGAGTATTTCATTATGTGGATATACCATAAACATTTGCGTTTGCAGTTTCTGGCTTCCGGGAATGAAGTTGCCGAGGACATTCCGTGTACATGTCCATACAGAGATGTGGAAACTGTGTGGACACATGTTTTAATTGCTCTTGTGCAAATACTTAGAGTTATTGAGTCATGAGATAAGTATATATATTTCCTCCTCTGAAAACTCGCCATACAATTGTCCAAATTGGTTATGCCATTTTACATCACCTCAATCAGTGCTTAAAGGTTACAATTCCTTTACCTCCCTGCCAATATTAGGTGCTGAGCTGTTAATTTTAGCCATGTGAGTGGGTGTGTAGTGATATCTCGTGATTCTATTTTACGTTTGTCTGATGGCTAATTGAACATCTTTTATGTGCTTTTCAGCCATTTGTATATCTTTTGTGAAACGTCCAAATATTTTTCCAATTTAAAAAGTGTCTTAGTATTAAGGTGTAAGAATTCTTTATATATTCTGAATACAAGTTGCTACGTATTGTGAATATCTTCTCCCAGTCAGTGGCTTTCCTCCTCATTTTTCTAACAGTATCTTTTGAAGAATAGAAGCTTTAGTTTTGATGAAATTCAGTTTGTGATCTATTTTTTGATGATTTATGCTTTTTGTTTTGTATCTAAGAACTCTTGCTCATTCCAAGGTTGTGAAGATATTATCACCATTTTGTCTAGGGTTTTTGGCTTCAGCTTTTATATACGTGATTCATTTTGAGTTATTTTCTGTGTATGGTAAGAGGTAAGGTTTTGGGTTTACTTTTTTCCATACAGATCTCCAGTTCAAGTAACATTTATTGAAAGTACTATCATTGAGATATCTCAGAACTTTATCAAAAATCAGTTGACCCTATATGTGTGGATCATTTTTGAACTCTGTTTTTATCCCATTGAGCTATGTCTACTCTTTTTTCTTTAATTTCTGAGAGAGAGAAGGAGAGAGACAGCATGATCGGGGGGAGGGGGGGGTCAGAGAGAGAGGGAGACACAGAATCTGAAACAGGCTCCAGGCTCCGAGCTGTCAGCACAGAGCCCGATGCGGGGCTCGAACCCACGAACTATGAGATCATGACCTGAGCTGAATTTGGATGCTTAACTAACTGAGCCACCCACGCGCCCCTACTCTTTTTTTTTTTAATGTTTATTTTTGAGAGAGAGAGACCGGGACACAGAGTGCAAGCAGGAGAGGGGTAGAGAGAGAGGGAGACACAGAAACTGAAGCAGGTTCCAGGCTCCCAGCTGTCAGCACAGGGCCCAACATGGGCTATGAGATCAGGAACTATGAGATCATGACCTGAGCTGGAGTTGAACGCTTAACTGACTGAGCCCCCCAGGCATCCCTGTGGCTACTCTTATACCTATTTTGTGCCTCTTTGATTACTGGAGTCTTCAAATGAGGTAGTACAAATGTTTTATTCTATTTGAAATTGTTCTGGCTTTTTTGTTTTTTTGCATTTCCATGTCAATTTTGTAATGGAAATGTTACTATCCTGGAAAGAGGGTTTTGGTATCATCCTAGTCTTATGTTGAATTGTTGTGAATCCAGAAATTAGGACAGCCTTGTGACCTTGTGTAAGGAAAAGTTTCACTGAATGGGACATTCAAATACATGTGGACCCGCTGTCCTGACCCTGATAGGCTGGGATAATGGTGAGGTCTCAGAGGAAGTGGGACAAATAAAGATAGAGAGCTTTCTCTGAGTATCAGAGGGAAGGATGTTTCATTTCTTTGGAAATTACAAAATCATTTGCAAGGCCCACAAGTAGGTAAGTCCAGAGGAAGTTGTAGACTCGGAAGAAAAGATCGATGGAAATAGAAATTTAGGAGCAATCAACATAGAAATAATAACTGGAGAACACTGTGGGAGAGTGGAGAGCCAAAAAGCAAGGGCCAAGGATTAAGCAGAAAACAGCATTTACAATTACGATGTAGACGGAGGGAGCAGGTTCATGGAAGACGATGACACGAGCCCTGCGAAGAGGGGGAAATAGCACAGTGTCATGGAAACCAAGGTCAGACAAGGCTTCCAGGAGGCAGAGTTTTAAGAAGTGTCAAATGAATAAGGACAGAAAAAGAGGATAAAGTGGGCTGACAGTTTTAGCAGGGGGGACTCTGGTGACATTTGAGGGAACAGTTTGATGGAAGTGAACATGATGAAGCCAGCCCGTGGGACCTTCGGGGGGTGGGAGAGGAAGTCTGTCTTGGTAACTGAAAACGAAGAGATGGAGGACTGGTCACCGTGGAGACCCACAGGACCAGCTGTGTGTTTTCTGCATAGGATGGGATTCCTGTTGATTGAAGAGGACTAGGGAATGGTTTCTCATCATTATATCAAATCCCTGTGTGCACCAGATTTTTAAAAACCAACAAGCCAGCTTAGCCCGAAGCAACTAGCAGACTTTCTCCTCCTCCTCAACTCTGGTGGGTACATTCCCCCGTCCACACTTTGAAATGTTCTAACCCTCTCCTCTTGCACTGGAGGTGAAGCAATGCCTTACACAATTCTTTCTTCCCGACTTCACCTCTTAAAAGGGTGACTGGAGTCAGCAGAAGTGATTTCTTCAGTGCCAATTGAGTAAACAGTGGAGTGATCACGGCGGAAGCTCTGCTTTGAGGGTCCGACGACCTGTTTGCACCCCATTAGCTCTGAAAGGAGGTTTCTAGATTCAGAACTCAACTGAAGCACCACGTAAAAGTCCATGGTAACCCTGTCACCAAATCCAGTGACCACTTCTCAAAGGCCCTCTTTCTCGACCCTCCCGTTGTGCTGTCACATTCACACCAAAACACTCATCTCTGTAGTTTTCTGGACACTCACTCGGCTGGTACTCCACCTGGTTAAGTTTTTCTAGGCGGTGGATGTCGTTCCCGACTGGGACACAGAGCAGGGCTTCTCCTTGCTCTATGCTTCCCCTGGTGTCAGAATGAGGTGTGTGAGGTAACGTTTATTCAGAAGTCTTCACCTTGAGCAGGCAATGGTTGGCTCCACGGTGATAAATGACACGTGGGTGAGCCCCAAGGTGGCTCTGGTAGTTCTCTCTCTTCATGTGCAAGGGCCCAAGCTTTCTGGTCATGGAGGCAGGAATTGGGCTCATTCCCTCAGGGCAGCTATCATCGCCCCTTCTTGTAAAGTCCAGTTGCTGATGGGAGTGTTCTCCTTGATGACTACCTTTATCATTTTCAGACACGGATCTAGCAGATGCAGAGAAAGAACTTCACCGAAGTGATGGAATTCATCTTCCTGGGATTCTCTATCTTTGGAAAGCACCAGATAACCCTCTTTGTGGTTTTCCTAGCCATCTACATTTTAACTCTTGCTGGTAACATCATCATTGTGACCATCATCCGTGTTGACCGTCATCTCCACACTCCCATGTACTTCTTCCTGAGCATCCTGGCGAGTTCCGAGACTGTGTACACACTGGCCATTGTCCCACGAATGCTTTCCAGTCTCATTCTTCATAACCAGCCCATCTCCTTGGCAAGCTGTGGGACGCAGATGTTCTTTTTTGTTACCTTGGCCACAAATAATTGCTTCTTGCTCACTGCAATGGGTTATGACCGCTATGTGGCTATCTGCAACCCCTTGAGGTACATGGTCATCATGAGTAAAGGGATGTGTGCCAGGCTGGTATGTGGGTCCTTTGGCATTGGTCTGGTAATGGCAGTTCTCCACGTGGGGGCCATGTTCCACTTGCCCTTCTGTGGCAGAGTGGTGGACCACTTCTTCTGTGACATTTACCCTGTCATGAAGCTATCTTGTGTCGATACCACTACCAATGAGATGATCAACTATGGTGTCAGTTCATTTGTGATCCTGGTCCCTGTGGGCCTGATCTTCATCTCCTACATCCTCATCATCTCCGCGATCCTCAAGATCCCCTCTGCACAGGGCCGGAAGAAGGCCTTTGCCACATGTGCCTCCCACCTCACGGTCGTCATCATCCACTATGGCTGTGCCTCTATCGCCTACCTCAAGCCCAAGTCAGAGAACTCAATAGAAAAAGACCTTCTCCTCTCGGTGACTTATATCATCATCACTCCTTTGTTGAACCCTGTTGTTTACAGTCTGAGGAACAAGGAGGTCAAGGACGCTCTACGCAGAGCTGTGGGCAAAAACATTTCTTAACAGATGGAATCATTTTGTCGGGAGACCTTTCACCCAGTGTAATGTGTGTTTGCTCACAAACACAAGTTCATCAAGTACAGTGCTTCCCAAGAAGAACACCAAAGAGTAGAAATGCTCTTCTTTTTCATGCTTTAGGGACTAGGCAGAAAGCAGGGTTATGCTCCAGTGAATATTGTTCCAAAGACATAGGAATCCTTCCAAGCCACATTAGAACTACTTGTTTCTGTGACTCCGGATTTGGGTTTTGAAGCCTCCTCTGGCCCCCACTTTGCCTGGCTCCTCTCAGACCATCAAATCCTTGACCTCGTCTGCAGATGTGGAGAGGAGGCAATTGGAAGAGATCTGGACAGTGTCTTAAGGGGAAAAAACAAAAAACAAAAACAAACAAACAAACACAAAAAACCCCACAGACACAGCCGGACAATGGCTTTTATCCTCAGGAGTTAAATCACTTGCTCTGTGAGTCATTTCAGAAAGGGTTTCCTCATTCTCACGGATTGAAAAATAAACAGCTTTTGCAAAATCCCGTCTTTGATTATCCAGCCACGTGAGCTCCCACGATAGTATTTATTTCTACATGTGTTCTTCCTCCTGTGCAATCAAGGCAAAAATTCTTGTTCCCTAGAAGCTAAGCAGGGAGAGAAGGTATTGGTGTCTTTTCTCTGTAAATTGCACTTTGATCCAGATGCATTTTTCAAAAAAAAGTTTTCAGCCTATGGAAGCGTGTGGGGTTTTTCATTTCTACGTAGCAGCTGCAGTGGACCGGTAGTTATCAGGTGTTGGCTGTACTGATTCTAGAGCCTGAAGCAGATGCCATTAAACACCCTTCGGTCAGGAAACAGTGAAAACTTCATCCTCGTCCTGTTTGTAGCAGAAGAGGCATAGCCATGCTACATGGTTTTATACCCTCAGTAAGGAAGGTTGTTGGACTATTGTTATAAACCTGCCCATCAATCTATCTCCACCCTGAGACTGAGCTGGAAGGTACTAGGAGACCAGATCTAGAAGCCTTTGTTTCCATACAATCCTGGTCCTTCCTCAGTGTTGCTCCATCCCCCAAGTCGGCTCCTGTCCCTTACTTTCTTTCCCACTTGAATTTTTTGGTTCTGTACAGTAGAAGTAGTACTGAGGCCTCTTGTAGGTGACATGTCATTTTCTCCTGCTCTATAGATCCTTCTGCGAGGAGGTCAATGGCAGGGGGTAGAGGGGTCTCTGTCCAGCGCCCCCTGCGGCAGACTGTCGCAGTCCACTGCTCTTAAGAGCGGATGTTGGCTGATTACGAGCACCTGCTGTCCCTCTAGAAGAGGTATCCCGGTCCTGGAAGGAGGGCTTGGAGGAGCCTCAGGGCTTTTGAACTTTCTGAAATTATTAAATTGTGAGTAAAAAGGTAAATGTGCCTGTTCCTTCATATTCTTCAAGGATTTTCACTGGTGTAACTGTTTCTTCCCGGAAGTCCTAGCAGAGATGCGACAAGATCCAACTTCGCTCTTTTACAGATCCCTTGCTTCCACAGTTGCTGTAAACTCTCCCAAAGAAGCACTCTTTGATCCCATCCACATTTGCCTCTGTGGGTGCTGCTGCTCAGCCATGAAGTTGGGGGGAGAGGAGGAGAGGGTGGGCGCTGCTTAGCGGGGAGACTGAGGGGAGGGAGTGGAGGATGGAGCCCCCAGGGCACATCATCTACACTGAGTTTTCTTGCCTTCTCCCATCTCTCCCCCCCCCCCATCCCTAAGTATTTGTACATAAGCCCTGCCACTCCTGTCTTGCCTCGTGGACAGGTGAGCACTCCTCTGGCATCACATGGGCTACATAATTTTCTTGGCTTCAGGTTCATGGGAGGAAGCCGCTCCCACCAGGGCTGCGCAGCACAAGGTATGAGAGAGGGCAGGGTTGTGTGGCTCCGGGGCCTCCCAGTAGGATGAATTGGGAACGGGGGCTCATGGTCCTGAAGCCTGTGATTGTAGTCCTTGGGAACCTTGTGAGTCTCCCCCACCCCCCAGACTGTCTCCATTGTCTTTATCATTGTAATTCTGCTCTCTCGTCTCCTCTTGCATATTGCAAATACTTTTCTTAGCACTTCTTTCATTCAGCTCTTTTGTTCATCAGAAAAATACTCACGATCATGTGTTCAATCTGTGCATATTTTCCAAACAATATCAAGGAGTTAACCAGTTCCGGGTTCAAGATAGTGAGTACTGACACAGAGACTCTGTTTCCTGTTACTCAGAGTTCAGTGGAGAAGACAAGATAGGACCAAGGTCAAAAACTGGCTACGGGCAGGTGTGCAGGACTCTTGTGTGGGGCCAGGGGTGTTCTACAAAAGGAACTGATCAAATTTGTTTAGCAGGCCAGGAAAGAATTCATAGAGAGATGCTTAATTAACAATGCAGCATTGGGTCAGGTGAAGTCTGGAGGCAGTCGAGACACAGAGAGGAGCCTAAGCAGAGAAAAGCAGCCTGTAGAGGCTGGAAGTGTTGGGAAGGTGGGTATTTTATGCATCTCTTTATGCCTGCCACCGTGTCAGATACTAGCCTGGCAAATAGTGGGCGCTTAATATATCTTTGGATATATGAATGTGTGAATTAAGTGCGATGTCTTGTCCAGGGTTTGCAGGGGTTTTGTTTGTTTGTTTTGTTTTGGGTAGATCTGGCTTAACCCCTCTGTATGCCTTGCAGACTTTCCATACCTAAAGTGAGCCAACAGAAAATAACAGTAAAGCATACTGGAAATTATTTTTCCCCATTGCAGGATTGCCTACCAGCAGTTGGTCTCACTTGCTCTGTGAACCATTGACATTCATATATTTTGCTAGTCACTTAAAATTGGACTAGAGAAAAATCTTCCCTTTGAAGGAAACTGGATTAACACCAAGTTAGTGTGTTATAGCCATAACCAAATCAATGACAAACTTAAAAACGCTTGTTTGACAGCTCGACCTATAAAGCCATAGGAAAGATTAGGAAACCGATAGTTATGAATCTTAAAACTTCTGAAATAAGATTCTTACATCGTTGAGTTTGTAGCTTCTCTAGAGAAAAACTAGTTTCACCTGATTTCTGTCCACATTCCCTGCTTACACCGTGTGGTGGAGTTGAGGGGAAAATGGCTGGAGTTCTCCCAACAGGAAGTAGAACAAACATTCTCTTAGTACAAATGTTTCAGGAAGAAGAGAGAGGAGAGACCAGTCAAAAGACAGACACGGAATATACGGTGCACAGAGCTTAACTTTTATAAAGGCATATTTAAAAGGAGTAAGGCTCCAAATCGATTTTGTTACTCTTGCCGCGTTCACCCGTGTGAGTGCGTGTGCGAGGTCGTATGTGGATGTGCGTGCACGTGTGTGTTTTTTGTGGGGAGAGATCGCCTTTGAGAGCTTTAGATGTGATGAGTTCCATGGTTAAGCAGTAATGTCTTATTTATATTCTTTCACTGAATAACTATCCCTAGCACTTATGTAGCTCTTTACAGTTCACAGAGGTCTTTCACATTCATGACCTTGTTTGGTCCTCCCTGCACTCCTATTAGGTACATAGTACTGCACCATTTCTCAGATAAATACAACGGGGGTAGATAAAGTGACTCTCCTGAGGTCGCCTCCATGGTTAGAGATGGGACTCACCGAAGTGAGCCCCACAGAGCTATTAATTCTGAATGTCATGCTCTATTATTCCACGTTTACATACACACTTTATTCTTACCAGGGGATAAGGCAGGAGGAATAAATTTTGATTAAACGCTAAAGCTTCATTTCAATCAGTAGTGATAAGATCTTTCTGAAATGTCCCATTTCCTTCCCTGTCTTTGCCAAAAAAAACCATATTGAACATCAGGAATATATTTCCTGAAATGTTTACTGTGAGACACTTAAATTTATCTTGTGGTCCATTGATGTCTTCACTTGGAAAAGAGCTTATAACAGAGTGTTTGCTTCTGAATTAAATGATCCACATATTACAGTATTTTGAGTTTTGTATCAGCATTGCATGGTTTCTGAATTTGAAATGATTCCTTTTGTTACATCCACAAATATGCACGTCTACTCTGAGTATCAGGCACTAGGTTAGGCACAAGGGATGCAGGTATAAGACCTGAACCTTGCTCTTGAGTAGGTAATAATTTTCTGGCAACCCATTTCAATAAAGAGTGACTAGTGCTATACACGCAGTACCATGGGGCCACAAAGAAGAAAATGCCTGACCCAGTTGATGACCTTCACCCTTGCATGTACTGATAGGAGCAGGTCATGGTGAATGAGTTGGCTCAGTCCAAACAGTGTGCTCTAGGGACGCTTCCTGACATCGTGTCTACTCAGATGCAAGTGCATCAGGATTCATGGATCCAGAATTTCTATAATGTATCATCCACCATATCTAGCATACAATTACAGGATGCTCATCATGGGAGCAAATAGAAAAATATGACGCATGGTCAAGAGAAGAGCATTCTATATGAATTTATATGAAGATGGCCGAAATCAGCAGTCAGTGACCTAAAAACAAGCAAGTATAAATACGTCTGAAGACTTGTGGGAAAATATGTTCATAATGAACAGACCTATGTGGGATATCAAGAAAT